GCTCCCGCCCCACGCCCACCCCCTCACCGCAGAGCCTATTTCACCTGGTTAGAGTAAAAGGCATAAGGAAATTTCGGTCGTAATTCTGGCCACGCATGTAGACATTGCGGTCCTTAACAGCTTAAAACATTTGAAAGAGAACTGAAGCAAACACTGACCAGCCTGAGATGCTTTATGATGCTTTTGCTTCCATTAAAAGCTGCTTCCATTCATCTATTTAAATATATATGTATATTTATAGAGTTGTTCTAGATACTGCATTTCACTGCATTGGAATGATTGTTGAGAGAGGAATGGGTAAATAAGAGTATGTGTTTACCCTAAATTACAATATCGCAGTTAAAACTAAGGATCTAGGTCGGTATATATCTGCATATGTTTTTTAATACCAACGTAGTGGAACATTGTGTTAAATGTAAAACGCAGACCGCTATGTATTATAATACAGAAACATTTACAGATTAAAAAGTAACATTCTTAGCGGGTGCCAGTGGCTCATGTCTGTAATCCTAACTACTCTGAAGACTAAAATCTGAGGATCTCTGTTCGAAACCAAACTGGAAGGAATGTCCATTAGAGTCTTATCTCCAATAACCTACTCAGAAAATTCTTTTGTTTGTTTGTTTTTTTGGGTTAGGTCGTGGGGCCTGAACTCTGGGCCTGGGCGCTGTCCCTCAGCTCTTCAGCTCAAGGCTAGCGCATAGCGCCACTTCCGGCTTTTTTCTTTTTGCTTATGTGGTGCTGAGGAATCGAACCCAGGGCCTCTGGCATGCAAGGCAGGCGCTCTACCACTGAGCCACCTTCCCAGCCCCTCAGAAAATTCTTGAAGTGTGCTGTGGCTCAAGTAGTAAAGCGCTAGCCTTGAACACAAAGAAGCTCAAGAACAGCATCTAGGCCCTGAATTTAAGCCCCAGGACTAACCAAAAAACAAAAAAAAAAGTAACTTCTTATTGTTCATGAACATAGGAACATGTACTAAAAATACAGAAACAAAAACTAGAAGGATACACTTCGAACTTGATAGTAGTTGAGAAAAGAGCAGCAAGAAACAATAAATGTATTTTTCTTTGTTTTTTTAAAGTAAATATGACAAAGGGTTCACTTTATTTAGGGATTAAGTGAAGGAATGTTATATTGGTAACTAGAATGAGTAACATTTTCCATGATAAAAAATAAACTATTTGTGTTACCCTGGTTTCCAGTTTTCCTATGAGCAAGCCAAGAATTGTATAGTGAAGAACTAAGCCTGTATTCATTCCAATCATTGAAATCTGTAAGAGAATTATGAAGTAAAAAATACTTATATTTTTCAATTTACTAATTGCCAAGTTCTGTCCCAAATTTCATAATAGTTTCAAAAATTATTAATTCTGTGGTACCACCAAGTGATAGAAGACTGTAGGTCATTTCCATGTTTGTTAAAGAATGGAATTTTTTATTATTTTTATGTCATCCTAGAAGTAACATTCCAAAGAAAGAATGTTCAACTTTAACCAAGAAGCCTATGTTACATTCATTTTACCAAACTTAGAAATTTATTTTCTACTGAACAGATTAATCTCTGCTGACAGATATATTGAAAAAAAAAAGACTGGTGCTGTTTACTCCCTTGTTAAAGACATACACTGGAGAGAGGGGTATACATACTCAATCTTAGCAGTTGGGAGGAAAAGGCAAAATAAAGTTATCAAAATACACTTCAGCCAATAAATTAGTCGTGTTGGTACATGCCTGTAATCCTAGCTATGTCGAAGTATAGGTAGGAGGATTTATATCCAAGGCTCTTGGGCAAAATATGCAAAACCCTCTCTGAAAAAAAGAACTAAAGTAAAAAAGATTGGAGGTATGGCTTAAGTAAGTACTACCAAATAAATAATAATAAACAAAAATAAAGAATAAAAGAGCTGAGGGTATCTTTCAAGTGGCAGAGTGCCTTCCAGATAAGCTCAAGTTCCTGAGTTCAAACCCCAGTACTGCCAAATTAAAAAAAAAAAAAAAAGAAAGGAGAGAAAGAGGGGGTGGGGGAGGAAATACCAGTGTAGGGCTGGGAAGGTGGCTCAGTGGTGGAGTTCTTGCCTTGCATGCATCAGCCCCTGGGTTTGATTCCTCAGTATCACATAAGAAGAAAAAGCCAGAAGTGGCAGTGTGGCTCAAGTGTTAGAGCGCTTACCTTGAGCTGAAGAGCTGAGGGTCAGTGCCCAGGCGCAGAGTTCAGGCCCCACGACTGACAAAAAAGAAAAAAATAAATCAGTGTAACATAAGCTTTGTTCAGGCATATGGCACAATTGACATCAATGTTGAATCCACAAAGCACACATTAAACATGGTTATATATTGATCAGTAGCGGTGACCAGCGACTCTTAAAAACCTTTTTAGTTGGTCACCAGAGGCGCATTCTTGTAATCCTAGTTATTTAAGTGGCTGAGATCTGAAGATCAAATCATATCTCGAAGACTTACTTCCACTTCTAGCCTTTTACTCCAATTATCAAACTGGAAGTACAGATGTGGCTTAAGTGATAGAATGCCAGGCTTGAGTGAAAAAAAGCTACTGGACAGCTCAGTGGTAGAGTGCTTGCCTTGCATGCATGAGGCCCTGGGTTTGATTTCTCAGCACCACATAAACAGAAAAAGCCAGAAGTGGCACTGTGGCTTAAGTGGTAGGGCACTAGCCTTGAGCTGAAGAGCTGAGGGACAGTGCCCAGGCCCAGAGTTCAAGCCCCACAAATGATTAAAAAAAAAAAAAAAAAAGCTAAGGGACAGTGCTAAGGCCCTGGGTTTAAGAACCTGTATACACACACACACACACACACACACGCACGCACGCACGCACGCATGCATGCGTGAGCGCTCCCACACACACACTTTGTATTTTCCCTGGAAATAATGGCATCTCCTAATCCAGTGTTTGCAGCAATGTTATCCTAACACAATCTGTGCAGAATTAAAGAACAAATCTATGGTAGGTAATGAGAATCAACTATCAAAACAATGCAGAACTTTCCTTGGCCATACAGAACACAATGGCCATTATGCCACCAGGTCACTGACAGTATTGGAGACACTTTAAGTGAATGAATGTTATTTTATGGTGCAGAAGTATCACACATTTGCTGTCTTATCTGAGATGTGTTTGCACACATCTGAAAATCAAGGACTTGGGCTGGGAAGGTGGCTCAGTAGTAAAGTGCTTGCCTGGGTTCGATTCCTCAGCACCACATAAGCAAAAAGAAAAAAGCCGGAAGTGGCTCTGTGGCTCAAGTGGTAGAGCGCTAGCCTTGAGCTGAAGAGCTGAGGGACAGCGCCCAGGCCCAGAGTTCAGGCCCCATGACCGCAAAAAAAAAAAAAAAAGAAAATCAAGGACTTCTTCCCAACTTCCATTCATTCTCCACAAAATGAAAATCATCCCTTCTACTTCAGGTTGATGTGTGCATCACTTACTACAGTGACACTGAAAGACCATTGAGTTAAGATAAGTAAGCCAAGATCATCTCAGACATCTTTTCAGTCTCTATGGCTGCTCACCACACTTGGCTGGGGACAATGGAGAAGAGTCTTCAGATGGAAGTAGGCACAGGAAAATCGCTTTGCTTTCTGTTGTTACAATAGAGTGCAATGAGTGGATCATTTATAAAGAAGTTGACTGGTTCCATGTTCTGTGGTCGGGGACGTCCTAG